AGGGAGATAAGGCAGAGTTGACATCCCTTTCTGCACTGGCTGCTTGTCAAGTTACTTTAATTCAAAGGAATCAATACACCATTGTGGGATATTTGGGAGCAGCCTGCCCCAGGCCCTGATAGTTCCTGGCATCTAAACGCTTCCTCTCCCATTAGGAGGTGAGGTGAGTGGAAGCAGAGGCCGCACTTGATTTCCATAACTAAGAAGCCAGATTATTTTTATTTATTAATGAAAAAATTTTTAAATTAAAGTATAATTGGCATATATTATATAAATGATATTAGTTTGAGGTGTAGAGTATAGTGATTAGACATGCATATACCTTATAATGTGATCATCATAAGTCTAGTAACCACATGTCACCATGCAGAGTTCCAGGAATAAAATAATGCAGACAGCTGAGCAGGCCTTTTTGGGGTGGAACCACTTTCCAGGAACCCCGGGAGATTTGATGAGCTAGCCTGTCAGGTTTTTTTTTTTTTTTTTTTTTTTTTTTAATCAATCTTTATTGTTCATATTATTACAAAGGTTCCTCATTTCTTCCCCCCTCCACCAGGTTCCCACCCCACCCTCCGCCCCCTCCCCATCCCCCATTGTCCTCATCCATAGTTGCACAGTTTATGTTCAGTCTCTTCCTCCCTCCTTTCCCTGATAGTAAATCCCTTTTCAGATAGTAAATCAGTTACTTTGCATTTTCTCATATCAATAATACCTCTACATGCCCAATGATACACTTCACACAAAAGACATTTCCAAATAGGTCAACCAGCCTCATCCAGGCACCACCCAAGGCACTCACAGATCAACACCCCACTGCTATACTAACTCAACACATCCAGATCTAAGCCTTCATCACTTGATTCAGCAGACCCTCAAGTTCCCGCAAAAGGTTCCAGCCATGTCTGAGAGGCAGCCGTGGGGCAGGGGCAGGCGAGGAGTGAGCTGTTCCGGGCCTGGCTGCTCCGGGCCTGGCCTCTGTTGCTCTGGCTCGTTCCACAACCAGCTGCTCCGGGTCTGATCACTGCCGCTTCCGACCTAGTTGCTCTGGACTTGGCTGCTGCTACTCCGGGCCTGGCTGCACCTGACCTGGCTGCTCCAGGCCCAGCTGCTCCGGGCCTGGCCGCTCCCAGCCTGGCAGCTGCTGCTCCGGGCCTGGCAACACCAGACCTGGCTGCTCCGGGCCTGGCCGCTCCCAGCCTGGCAGATGCTGCTCCGGGCCTGGCTGCTCCCAGCCTAGCAACCGCTGCTCCAGGCCTGGCCGCACCAGACCCGGCTGCTCCGGGCCTGACCGCTCCCAGCCTGGCAGCTGCTGCTCCGGGCCTGGCCACACCTGACCCGGCTGCTCTGGGCCCGGTTGCTCCGGGCCTGGCCGCTCCGGGCCTGGCCGCTCCCAGCCTGGCAGCTGCTGCTCTGGGCCTGGCCACACCCAACCCGGCTGCTCTGGGCCCGGCTGCCCTGGGCCCGGCCGCTCCAAGCCTGGCCGCTCCTGGCCTGGATGCTCCGGGCTTGGCTACTGCTGTTCTGGGCCTGGCTGCTCCCAACCCGGCTGCTCTGGGTCTGGCTTCTCCGGGCCCGGCCACTCTGGGTCTGGGTGTTCCTGGACTGGCCACCCTAGGCTTGGCCACCTCCGCCTCAGGTCTGGCTGCCACTGCCCCAGGTCTGGCTGCTCCAGTGCTGGCTGTTGATGCTCTGGTTCTGGCTGCTGCTGCTCTGGGGCCTGGCCATTGCTGCTCCGGGCCTGGCTGCACCTGACCTGGCTGCTCCAGGCCCAGCTGCTCCGGGCCTGGCCGCTCCCAGCCTGGCAGCTGCTGCTCCGGGCCTGGCAACACCAGACCCGGCTGCTCCGGGCCTGACCGCTCCCAGCCTGGCAGCTGCTGCTCCGGGCCTGGCCACACCTGACCCGGCTGCTCTGGGCCCGGTTGCTCCGGGCCTGGCCGCTCCGGGCCTGGCCGCTCCCAGCCTGGCAGCTGCTGCTCTGGGCCTGGCCACACCCAACCCGGCTGCTCTGGGCCCGGCTGCCCTGGGCCCGGCCGCTCCAAGCCTGGCCGCTCCTGGCCTGGATGCTCCGGGCTTGGCTACTGCTGTTCTGGGCCTGGCTGCTCCCAACCCGGCTGCTCTGGGTCTGGCTTCTCCGGGCCCGGCCACTCTGGGTCTGGGTGTTCCTGGACTGGCCACCCTAGGCTTGGCCACCTCCGCCTCAGGTCTGGCTGCCACTGCCCCAGGTCTGGCTGCTCCAGTGCTGGCTGTTGATGCTCTGGTTCTGGCTGCTGCTGCTCTGGGGCCTGGCCATTGCTGCTCCGGGCCCGGCTGCCACTGCCTTGTGCCTGGCCACTCTAGGCCTGGCCGCTGCTGTTCCAACATTCTGTCCTTTTTTCTTTCTTTCTTTCTTTCTTTCTTTCTTTCTTTCTTTCTTTCTTTCTTTCTTTTTTCTTTTTTTTTTTTTTTTAACTCATTTATGTTGCAATGTTGGCTGGTGAGTTGAGTTCTGACTTAGTCTTTGATTTTTCAAGATCTTTGTATTCTTTCTTAAGTAATTTTACTATCTTTTGCTCTCACTTGATTTCTTCACATTGAGAACTTCTTTGGTTTCTTCCTCCTTGTCCTGGGAGCTCAGCAGGTTGGCCTGTGGCACCCCTTTGTTCTCTGTGGGCTCCTGTGCTGCTTCAGCCTGTTGCCGGGGTCGGCGCCGCCCAGGAAGCAGCCCCCGGCCTTGGCTCCGTTGCCCGGGCTCAGCGGTTGAAGGCTCAGGGGCACACCCCCCCCGGGGGCCCCCGTCGCCCGGCTCCTTGCTGGTGCCCGGCTGGCCGGTGTCCGGCAGGGGCTCATGCTCCTCGTTGCGTTCCTCCAGTCTGGAGCTTTTTTTCTCCTTCCCGCTAGGGGAGTCTAGGATCAGAGTCAACAGACTGTCCTCCGCACGCAGTGTGCGCGACTCCGGGGGTTCCGCTTTTCGCAGCTCCCCCAGGACTCCACCTCACAGCCCCGTCTCCCTCTGCTTGAGCCTAGGTCCCCAGGGATTGGCCTAGAACTGGAGTTCAGGGCAGTTGGGAGTGGGGCTCAGCACCGCCGGAGATTTTGTTTCTTCCCGCCAGGGCAATACAGCATCAGAGTCAACATTCTGTCCTCTGCATGCATTGTGCGCGTCGCGCGACTCTGGGGGCTCCGCTTTTCGCCGCTCCCCTGGGATTCCGCCTCACAGCCCCGTCTCCCCCTGCCTGAGCCTGGGTCCCCAGGGTCTGGCCTAGAACTGGGGTTCAGAGCAGTCAAAACTGGGGCCCAACATGGCCGGGTCTCCTGTTTCCTTCCCTCCAGGCCAATCCCACATCAGAGTCAACATTCCTTCCCTTGCAAGCAATGTGCGCGACTCCGGGGGCTCGGCCTTTCGCCGCTCTCCCAGGACTCCACCTCACAGCCCAGTCTCCCTCTGCTTAAGCCTAGGTCCCCAGGGATTGGCCTAGAACTGGGGTTCAGAGCAGTCCGGACTGAGGCTCAGCGCTGCCGGAGGCTTTGTTTCTTCCGGCTGGGGTAATCCAGCATCAGAGTGAACATTCAGTCCTCTGCGCGCAATGTGCGCTCGACTCTGGGGGCCCTGCTTTTCGCTGCTCCCCTGGGATTCCACCTCACAGCCCTGTCTCCCCCTGCCGGAGCCTGGGTCCCCAGGGTCTGGCCCATAACTGTGGCTCAGCGCTGCCGGTTCGGGGGTTCAGCCCAGGCTGGGGGTTTTATTTCTTTCCCGCTAGGGAACGCCAGGCAGCACCCAGCCTTCTCCTCCTCTCCGGCTGCGATCTCTCCGCGCGCACGTGCGTGCGGGCGTGCAGCATGTCTCCGTACCTTAGGCTTTTTTTCAGCTCCTCTGATTTTCCTTCTGGTTTTCTCTTTCCTTCTTATTGTAGAATTTTCAGTCAGTTGACTACCTGTAGCTCTGGGCAATGTCCATTCTACATTTTAGTTGTATTCCATTGAAATTGTTGTGTGCTGCTGCGGTTAGATGTCTACCCGAGCAGCCATCTTGGATCCTCCCGGCTGTTGTACTTTTTTGCCTGTCAGTTTTGAAGCTCAAGGGCTTTAGAGTGAACTCAAAGGGATTTCATTTCTGACACATCTGCCATCTGGCCCAGCAGGGACCATCCTGAGGGAATGACCAGCAAAACAAGGTCCCGGCTGGAGGAGACGGCCCCTAACTGCACACCTTCCAACAGTCCGGGTGCCGCATCCTGGAGCCCCTCACCCTTCCTCTCCACATCCAGGTGGCCCTGCCTTGGCCCCTCCAACACTGACAGCAGAGCCGCCCCTGACCCATGGCTGCGGGGCGGAGCGAGTCTACCGTGTTTCTTCAGGATTGCACAACGAGGAAATGACCTGTGCATGAAGACAACCACAGCTGTCCAGTAAGTGTCCTTTGTGCCTTTTTAGGAGAAATGACCCTGAGGGACTTGCCCCAGGTGCCAAAGCTGGCTTCTCTTCCCTTCCCAGGATCCAGCAGGGAGGGCTCAGCATCAATAAATAGCAGCTAGCTGTCCGCAGCAGGCAGGACCAGCGGCTCCGCTCCACCAGAGACCAGGTGAGGGACCACTCTCAGGAGGGCTTGCTCTCCAAACTTTACTCTATGTTCTCTTTCCAGCAAGACTGTATTTTTATTTTAAAATAATTATTCTCTTCTGCAGTTGTGCTGTATGGGGTCTGTGTCGGCCGAGTGGCACAGGGTAATGCTTTTGGTCTCATTACAGGCTGCCCCGGAGGGTTTGTTTGGTCCTAACTGCTTTTCTGCTCCCTCAGTGCCACCTTGGTGACCTGACCTAGACAGTCTTGTGTTCGGGGTTGATGGGTTCAGGATTGAGGACTTTGGCTCTGAGTGAGGTCCCACTGCAGTGTTTCCTAGATGGGCAGCCAGGGTCTCAAGAGAACAAATGGAAATGCACAGCCGGGCTACCTTTGACGTACAAATCCCCACAGGTGGGTGCTAGTCCTGCCTGTGTCTCCCTGACCCTCCTCTCTCATTTCAGCACCATGAAGCTTTTCACAGGCCTCATGTTCTGCGCCTGGGTCCTGGGAGTCAGCTGCGTGGACTTTTTTGATTTCGTGCGCCAGGCTTATGACGGTAAAGTCCCTTGGTGGGTGTGAGGGATGGAACCCAAGGCCGTTAGGATTTCACCTGAGTGCCTTTCAGGGATGGGGCTACTGTGTTAGTTTGTGTTGCCCCACGTGGTAGAATGTGCGGGGAGTTTCGGGAGCTTTTCATCAAACACATGGAAAAACCACAGGACTTATTTCAGTCAGTTACTACAGAAAGAACAATCATCATTTCCTGCTGAAAGGTAAGTTTGACTAGAAGACACAATAGTTATTGAAATGCTATACAATTTCCCTCAGAACAACGCACAAAGTATGATTGAAGCTACCCATATTTTCTTCCTCTCCTCCCTTCTCTCTCTCTCTTGCTTTTTCCCTCCTGTCTGTTTCCTCGCTGGGTAGTTTAGTGAGACCTGCAGCTTAGCTCTTGCTGGAGCTTCCTATAGTCAGGTACACTGTCCCTGCTTTAGTCTGTTTCCTACCCTTTTCCAACCTTTACAAAAAAAATTTATTTTGTATTTTTATTGATTTCAGAGAGGAAGGGAGAGAGTGATAGAAACATCAATGATGAGAATCATTGATCAGCTGCCTCCTGCATCCACCTATTGGTGATTGAGTCTGTAACCCAGGCATGTGCCCTTGACCTGAATAGAACCTGGGACCTTTCAGTCCACAGGCTGATGGTCTGTCCACTGAGCCAAACTGGCTAGGGCCTTTTCCAGCTTTGTAACTGACCAAAAGGGAACTAGTAACATCCATCGAGCCTCCTCTAGGAACTCAGCACTTCCATGCAATTTAGGGCAACCAACTCTCCTGGTGTGCCTGAGTCTGGCAAGTTTTCCATGACGCCTTCAGTGCTAACTGGGACAGTCCTAGGCAAACAGGGACAGTTCTGGTCAATCGGGGACAGTCAGTCACAAGTCTAAGTGGAGAATAACTTGGTGGGCAGGCATCTTCCCCTACTTTGAAGCTTAGAGCAGCTGACTCAGGGAACCTGGGACTACTCATCAGTCAGCAGGTGGCAGGGCAGAGTGTGAACCCAGCTGTGCAGGAGGCCAAAGTCTTGCCAGGCAGATGTGTCTGAGCACCGCTTCCTAGAGCTCAGAGGTCCCCAATCTCAGCTACCTGAGGGAATCACTTGGAGACATTAAAACGACAGAGACCTGGGACCCACCCCCACAGAGTCTGAGGTGATGGCCTGAGATGTGGCATGGGCCTTCCTCAGTCTCCGCAGGTGATGAGAAGGTGCAGCCAAGGCTGAGACACAGGCCCCTGCTCTGGCGCTTGCCTGCTCACAGCATCAGTCCAGTATGTGTGGGCGGATTCCAGGATGCCACGTATGCCCCTCACACTCAGAGGGACTCACCTCAGGATTCCCAGCATTCTGCCTGCAACACTCCGATTCTTAGGGTCAGGCAGAAGTGCTGTATGCCTGCACCTTTCTCACAATCTGCTTTCCATGTCACCACCAGGCTCAGTGAGTCCCCTGACACTGTCCTATGTAGCTTCTCTCCATATCCCAGAGCTTCTTCATCCTGAGCCCCTTGGTGCCCCAGAGACATGTGGCAATGTGGGAAACACTGCTGGTTGTCACAGGGGGGTAGGCTGCTTCACCTAGTGGGCAGAAAGGTGGGAATTCCGGGGAACCTCCCACCTTACTCAGGAAGGCCCTGAACACAAAGGATTCTCTGGCCCCAAATTTCAGCAGCACTGACATTGAAATCCTGTTCTGTCATGTGGCCTCCCTGTCTCCTTTAAACACATGCCCCAGAGGCCTAAGTGAGCTGGAGCCCACAGATAGCATGACAGGCATCAGACCACCAGGGACAACCCAGCTGTGCCCCCACCTAAATGTCTCTCCTTAGAGTCACCTGGGGAAGCCAACTTGACCTGGAGAATGTTCTCAACCTGTGGTCTCCAGGGTGCCATGACCACAGGGTGAAACTGAATCAGTGGTCCATTTTTACTCCTTGATTCTACTCTAAGGAGTGTCATGGTTCATGGATATTTCACCTGATGTCTCTGTGCCGTGTCTTTTCCTTCCCAGGGACTAAAGACATGGCGAGAGCCTACTCTGACATGAGAGAAGCCAATTTCAAAAACTCAGACAAATACTTCCATGCCCGGGGGAACTATGACGCTGCCCGAAGGGGACCTGGTGGGGCCTGGGCTGCTAAAGTGATCAGGTAACCGGGCTTCTGGGGATGCAGGATGGGTGAGCAGAGCTTGGCTGACTGGGCATGTGGAGGGTGTAAGCCCTAGAGAAGGAGCCTGTTGGGTCTGTGGGCTCCTCCTCATGTTTTTCCTTCCACCTTCTCCATCCCTGCCCAGCACAGGGCCTGGGCTGCCAGCAGAGCCAGAGAATGGCTTGTGGGCCTGTCCCCAAAAGAGAAACTGAGGGCCAAAGACTGATTCCCAGTCTCCTCTCCGGTGCTGCTCTCCCAGTGGGAGGGGGTCACCCGGGGCTGAGTGGGCTGTGCCCAGGCAGGGTCAGTGCTGAGCCTTTTTCCAGGCTCCTCTCAGAATCATTAATCCCTTGGAAAGGGAAGAGTAGGACTGTTTCTCCTCAGACCCTGATTCACCTCCTACCTGCCCTTTTCCATTCCAGTGATGGCAGAGAGGCTTATCCAAGAATCACCGACTTTCTTAAGCATGGAGACAGCGGCCATGGATTGGCAGACTCACTGGCCGACCAGATAGCTAATGAACATGGCCGGAGTGGCAAAGACCCCAATTTCTTCAGACCTCGTGGCCTGCCCGACAAGTACTGAGCTCCTTCGCTCTGCTCTCAGAGGACGGGGCTCTGAGCCCCCCAACTACAAGGCCCCCGAGTCATTGAGTTCCACATTCCCAGATGTTGACAGAGGGCACACAATATCCTTCTAATAAATGCTCAAGAGTTTGAATGTTGAAAACTTTGTGTGATATTTTGATATAAGGACTACTCCTTTGATGTTGCGGGTGATAGGTGGAGACCCATGAGAAGATCAAACCTGTGCCTGTGTGTTTGGGTGTAGGGGACAGTCTCAGAGTCGCACAGTGCACACACCCTGCTCAACACCCTTCCCTGAGTCAGACCTGCTGCTCTCTCTGCGTTTCTTGGTTACATGGTTGCTTCTGCTCACTCCGTCAATGGTGTCTATCACCATCACAGTCCCCAGGGCCTTGTCTCAGTGCCCTGACTTTTATCCCTCAGTGGTCTCTGTCTGAGGGTAGGGGACACAGCATTGGGAGGACTGGGCCATGGGATCAGGCTCCAGCATCTGCCACCATTTCTCAGCAGCACCCACAAATCCAATTATTAACCAATTTCTGTCCATGCCACCTAAGACAAGCCTCAAAGCGGTTTCCTACACACTCTCTCTTTTTTTAAAGTTGATATTCCCCCCCCATTTATTTATTTATTTATTTATATTTTATTGATTGTTTTACAGAGAGGAAGAGAGAAGGATAGAGAGTTAGAAACATCAATGAGAGAGAATCATTGATCAGCTGCCTCTTGCCCGCAACCAAGGTACATGCCCTTGACCGGAATCGAACCCAGGACCTTTCAATCTACAGGCCGACACTCTATCCACTGAGCCAAACCGGTTTCAGCTCCACTCTCTTTTTATTTGCCTTATTTCGAGCCTAATTGCAGATGAAATGCCCTCTCATGTGTGAATATTTCCTCACAGCGTCTTCACCTTAACTACCTCAAATTGTGGACCTGATAGTGAAGAGAAATTTTGATAAGGAGCATTAATTACTAATAATATTAGCTACGAAGGAGCAAAGAATGCAAGAAGGAATACGTTTGAGAAAGGGTGCTCCACAGGGTTGAGATGTAGATCTCATTGGAAAGCCTAGCCCATCAGAAGGCTGATAAAGATTGCCGGGTTTCAAAAGCCAGAGCTGACAAACAAGCACTTCCCCATGAGGTGCCATGGACTTGGCAGAAACTACCCAGGATGTAGTTGACCTCCCTGGGGATGCTGCTGGGTTCCTGCCATCGCACTTGGATTTGGTGCAGATGGGGGCAGGAGGAAGAAAGCTGCTGAACTTCCTGGAACCCGGCGGTGGAAGGGGCAGTGCTGTGACTGAATTATGTCCCCCACCCTCAATTTATCTTGCTGTCCCAACTTCTAGGGCGGCTGTATTGTAATTAAAATTAAATGAAGTTGTAACAGTGGAGCCCTGGTCTGATAGGATTAGTGTCCTTATAAGAGGAGATGAACAGATTGCCAGAGCACAACTGAGGTTCCTGCCAGTCAATCCACAGCCAATATGAGGGTCAGCGAGTTCAGGGTGACAGCCTACATGTCTCAAATTCAAGGAAGGGCTCAGTCATTTCCATTCATTGGCGTGCATTCTGTCCCCCAGGCTGTGACAGTCTTATCTGTGCTACCCATGATCCTCTTGACTACCCTGCTACCTGGGAATTACCGTCCCTTTTCAGAAGAGGGAAATGGAGGCTCGGGGAAATTGATATACTTATGGAAAGCCACACAACCTTGGCGTTCTGGAAGCTGGGTTTAAACCCCATTTTTTCTTGCTGAAACCGGTTTGGCTCAGTGGATAGAGCGTCAGCCTGCAGACTGAAAGGTCCTGGATTCGATTCCAGTCAAGGGCATGTACATTGGTTGCGGGCACATCCCCAGTAGGGGTGTGTAAGAGGCAGCTGATCGATAATTCTCTCATCGATGTTTCTAACTCTCTATCCCTCTCTCTTCCTCCCTGTAAAAAATAAATAAAATATATTAAAAAAAAACACATAAAATAAAAATAAACCCAGTTCTCTCTGACTCTCAGATTGGGGCCTATCTTTACTGGAACATGGACCCTCTACTAACAGGGGAATGTGCTATAATCATCATGCCCCCTCCCCTCCACTGAAATGTAGAATAATTATTAGGTTCATGTTTGGTTTTGTGTCATGTATCACTGTTTAAAGAATATATAATTTTTTTTTCAGTATTGCTTTTTAAAAAATTGTATTTTGATTGATTTTAGAGAGGGATAGAGAACCTCTGATCGGCTGCCTCCCGCATGCCCCCTCTCCCCCCACTGGGCATCAAACCCGAAACTCAGGCATGTGCCCTTGACTGGAATTGAACCTGGGACCCCTCAGTTTGCAGGTCAACACTCTATCCACTGAGCCAAACCCACCAGGGCAGTATTGTATGTGGTATCTACCTTTTAAAAAGCCCTAATCTACCTTTTTATTGGATTTATTGGGGTTATATTGGTTACTACATAGGTTTCAAGTGTAAAATTCTATAACACATGAGAAGCCAGGCTGGGGAGGAGTGTCCCTCAGCCTGGCTAGCACCCTCTTGAATCCTGAACATCCCTCTCACAATGCAGGACCTCTGTTCATTTTGCTACACAGGGTAGCATTCCTGCCACTGCTCTGAGAGCGAGTACCTGGTGAGTTGGTCTGCAGTAGGTCTTCCCAGAGTGGCTCCCAGAAATGAATGTTTTGATAATGAGACGGCTCAGTTTGCCAGGAGATGTGGACAGAGCTGGACAACACGTACTACAGAGTTCTGTTAATAATGACCAGCAACTTTCTTTTTTTTAAATCCTCACCTAAGAATATGTTTTTATTAGTTTTAGAAAGAGGGGAAGGAAGAAACATCAATCGAACCTGCAACCCAGGTATATGCCCTACTGGGAATGGAACCTGCAACTTTTCTGTTTACTGGACGGCGCTCCAGCCAACCCAGCCACTAGCCAATGATGGTCAGCAAGGTTTTGTTAGCTAGGGGTTGGCCCCAAACGTCAAAGCTGAACTCTGGTAGGCAGGGCTGCACTGCCTGGGCTGGGCTGACAGTCTGATGAGTGTCGTCTCCTCTAATCCAAACTCCGTCTCCAATCCCCAGAGCCATGCCAAGGAGCACCCACGAGCCTGGGAGGAGGGAACCAGGGAACCGGAGCTGTGTCTGTTCCCAGGCACACCTCACAGAGAGACATTTCTCCAACATGATTCAAGTCTACATAAACCGAGAACAGAACAAGCTGTGTAACTGCCCTATGTCACTGCCTTTACTTAATTCAGGCTAAATTGCTGGGAAAAAATACAGAAGCTTAAGAAATACAGAAATGTATGTTTCACGTAACAGTTTGTGGTGAGCGATCCCCCTGCCAGGGTCCTGGGCTCTGCACTGTCCCTCAGATTCCTGCCAGGTTCCTGCCCCACCAGACTTCAGACTGAGCCCTGCTGCTCAGAGGGGGTCAGGGACGAGAAGCTTCAGCACTTCCTGGGTCCTGTCAGAAATGCAACGTCTCAGGTGCCAGGTCCCCTTTGGCAGCCAGGACCACTTGCAGAGCGTGTGGGCAACCTGGCAAAGCAAAAACGTGGGACCTTTGTTCACAAATTCTTAAACATTCCAAAAAGGTGAAAGCAGGCCATTCAGCCAAGCTCAGGGCTCTGCTAAGCAGGGGCTCTGCATGCCACACAGGCCTCAGGCCGTGAAACAGGCAGTACACTGGGAAAAGCCCCACAGCCAGGGGCTGAGAGCACTGAGACTGTGTCACCAGAGCCAGGCTTTGCCTCCAAATAGCAGGTGTCGATATGCCTAGATCACCAGGGGAATATAGTAACTGAATGCTCATCCATCTGGAATGATGAATTTCCCGGGGAAGACGGGAACCACAGTCTGGGAAAACCTCCGTCTTCAGGACAGAGCTGTGCCATTAGTATTTGTGTTAGCCTCTGGAAGAACTGCCACGTGGGAATGTTCTGGGCCTCACTTGTGTTCTGTATTTGATTCACAGACCAGGGTTGTCTGGAAACCTCAGGCTCCTCATCTCAGCACAGAGCTCTGTGTTGTCAGTCTGGGTTGTTATTCAGGAAGTTCCTGAGTCCAGATTTCTTCTACGTGAAAGGGTGGGGAAAGCTGCTCATGACTCTGACCTCACTCTGAAGTTACTATTCCCGACAGGAGCAAAGTTTTCAGCCCCTTGTTCTGCCACAAAATGGTTAAGATAGTATATTTTTATGTTATCAGTATTTTACAGTAAAAAAAAGACCCAACAACACAAAAAACAATTTGCAGAACTTAAAGGGACAGATCCTGGTGGAATTTTCAGAAGGTGGGCACTGGGGCAAAGGGCATATCAGGGTTCGATTCCAGTGAAGGACACTTACTTTGGTTGCAGGCTCCTCCTGGCACAGGCCCTTATCAGGGCTTGTGCAGGAGGCAACCGATCGATGTGTTGTTCTCATATTGATGTTTCCCTCTTCTTTCCCTCTCCCCAAAAATCAATGGAAAAAATATCCTCAGGTATGGATTAACAATGCCAGGGATACTTCCCAGACCTACCACCTACAGGTCTAGGGACTGATTTAATCTGCCTCAACTGCCGCCCTCCCACATTGCTGGATTTAGATGTAGAGTTGTCCTCACTGATAGATAAAACAAGGCCCCGGAGAAAGAATGCTTGTCTCGGTGCCAGGAAGTGAACTGGAGAGTCACTGAATGTATCCTCGCTCTCTTGAGGCACAGCCTTGATCATGCTTCTTCTCAATCAGGACCTTTCGGTGGCTCCCCTCTGCTTTCAAGTGCAAATCCTTGAACTTGGCTTGTAAGGCCCTCTGTGACCTGCTTTCAGCTTCTCAGTTTCAGAGCATAAGTTTGCCTCTTGTCCTGGGTTTTCTGTGTTTTGAACCCAGTGTGCACGTGACGCCATTTTGAGCCTGCTGTTTTCTCTTTACAATTCCCCCGGCCATTCCGTCCCCCTCCTTTTTTTGTTTTTTGTTTTTGTTTTGTTTTGTTAATTCTCACCCAAGGACATTTTCCCATTGGTTTTTAGATAGAGTCTAAGGGAAGGAGATAGGGGTAGGCATGGGGGGGGGGGAGAGAAAGAGAGAGAGAAACATCCATGTGAGAGTCACATTGATAGGCTGCCTCCCACACGGGCCCTGACTGGGGCCAGGGATTGAATCTGCAATGCAGGTAGCAGGTACATATCCTTGAGAGGGAATCAAACCATCAGCCCTTCTGTGCATGGGTTGATACTCTAACCATGAGCAACAGCAGCAAGGGTCTACAATTCCTCCCTTTTGACCAGACTCTCAGCTTAATTAAGAGATGTGGTAAAAAAAAAAGTTCAGGCATTAGTGTCACTCTCAGCTACCACTCTGTAGCCTGCTGGCCCTTGGTGTGGCATGATGATTGCTTAAATCTCTGTGATCTGGGCTTGTGGTTTTCTCTTTAACAGCAGAAAGGGTTGATAAGGGGGATGTGGCAAGAATGACTACAAGGTCTGAGCCTTGACCAGGGCAGTGACAAATTTAATACGTGCAAGAAAGTTATGAACTTCAATTTTGGGCTTCCTACTTTCTCTGAGTCATGCAAAAACAATTTACATGGGTCTGATTACCACAGGGTAAAACAATGCTATTCTAAATCTCTCAAAGAAAGCTAACATTTACCACCCATACAGCATGTCACACGTACTATCCACTACAGTTTAATCTCATTTAATAGTCACTACCAGGTAGCTCTGGCCTCACTCTATGTGCTGCTTGCTTTACATTTATTCTCCTATTCAATCCTCATTACTTTGGGTGACTACTGCAGTTACATCCATTTTTACAGATGAGGAAACTGAAACGTAGAGAAAATGTCATTTAGAAAAATTCAAAGCATATAGAAAAGGCCAATCAGCTTCAGAACCCAGGCTCTCCAGCACTACGCTACCCTGTAATTCTGTTAAAAGAGCATTGCACCCAGCCCCGTTCCCAATCCAGCCTTTGGCTACCTATGGGGAAACCTTTGGTTGGCACAATTATGGGGGCATTTAGTGGATGGGCCATCCATTAAATCTTACAATTTACAGGACAGTGCTGCAGACATAGAACCATCCTGAGTTCTGCCTGCCTTCTGCCTTCTGCCATGCTTATAGTCAGTGTCAGCTTTACTGTGAAGCTGACAAAGAGTAAGCTTCAAGGGCTCTTCACTTATATGGGACCATTCCAAGACCCTTGGAGGGACTCTAAGAAAGTATTTACATAGTCGAACAGCTTTGTATAATCTGAAAAAAGTTAAATATTTTAACTTTAAGCAGTGAATGTCACAGACTTGTCCATTCCAACATCCCACCATTACACTTCTCCTTGTGTTGAGTGACCATTGGGGTGGTCACAGACATTTTAGAGATCTGACTAAGAAGTTGAGTTGGGATTACAATTTGTTTGCATTTACTGGTCATGGGACATTTATGTGGTTTTCAGTCACTTCCTAGTATAATTGAGATGTTGATTGCCACCCTGGAGTAGGAATGGCTTCTAGACTCCCTACTGTGGTGCAGAGGTCAAATGGCAAAATGAACATGGCCAGTACAGTCCAGCACGGCATGTGTGGGAGATGACATACACGGTCCAGTGAGGGCGACCAATAACAATTATGACTATAACCATGCCTGATAGAATGCAGAGGGGCTGGGGGAGATGGAGTCATCCGGGCTCCTTCCTGTCCCTGACGGGAATATTGGGCGGGCAGTCAGCCCAGCAGGGCTCTGGGCAGCAGGGGGCGCTGTGGCGAGAGCAGCGCCGGGCCCTCTGGCGCCAGAAGGCCTCTCGCCTCCTCCTCCGGCGGCTTCCGGCGCGGCCCCTGCAGACCTGTAGCGGCCGAATCATGGACCGCAACCCCTCGCCGCCGCCGCTGCCCAGGAACGAGGTCGACCAGGAGGAGGAGGAGGTGGCGGGGGGTGACTGCATAGGGAGCACGGTGTACAGCAAGCACTGGCTCTTCGGCGTCCTCAGCGGGCTCATCCAGGTGTGGAAACTCGCGCCTCGCGTGGGCCCTCCTCCGTCCCCCACATCCGGCCCCGCGTCTGGCCGCCCCTCCCTCCCGCCTGGGCCCGCGGTCCCCATGGCGACCCAGGACCGCGACCCGGGACCCCTCCCCGGGCGCCCGCGGCCCCGCACCTCGGCAGCTCCCCGGCCCCCCAGCACTGAAGGAGGTGTAGTCAGGGACAGGAATGCCGGAGCGCTTGCAATTAACATATTTTACGTGGTCACGTAAAGGCATTTGCTCAGTTTTTTGCTCCCCCTTTCCACGGTCGTTTCCGAGGTCTAGGTCCTAATAATCTAGTTCATGGGCTTTAGTTGTAGCAGAAGAGTAGGTACGTGTTGGTTTTGGAGTCGGAGCTCTGACATCCAAAGCGCGGCTTCAGCACCTCTTTGCAGGGCGACTCTGGGCAAAGCTGCCAAAGCGCTCAGAGCCTCTGTTTCTTTCCCAATTTCTGCACAGCAGAATGGTAGTATCTGTGTTGTTGGATATAGGGCCATATTGTGTAGGTTAAATACGATATAGGCCATCGAGTGCTTACCCTGGCGTTTAACTGATAGGAGGCTGTGAACTTTTCTTTCCCTAATTAGAACTTTTCTTCTCATCTCTGCCCCTTCCAGGCCATCTCTGCACAGTTGCCAGAATAACCTTCCTTTTAAAAAACAAACAGCCCGGCCGCTCAGTGGTTGAATGTCAGCCAGGGTTGGGTTCCAGGTCAGGGCCCATGCCCCGGTTTCTGGCTGGATCCCCAGTAGGGGGCGTGCAGGAGGCAGCCTATCAATGATTCTCTCTCATCATTGATGTTTCTACCTCTCCTCCTTCCTCTCTGAAATCAATAAAAATATATTTAAGAAAAAAAACTCCTCATACTTCCCTTTACCCACTGGAGAAACATGCATATATTTTAGCTCGGAATGCAACCTTTCCAAGTCTCATTTGCTCACCATTGACACTTAACTGCTCACCATTCCCCAAAGATGCTAGGCCCTTAACTCTGAGCTCTCCTACTTTCCTTCTCCTCTTCTTCCTCAGAGATTTAGCTTAAATATCACCGAAGAGAATTTCCCCCTAACTTCTCCCAGGCATGGGTCATTGTCCCTCACTTCTCCCCTCAGAAGTTTTTTTAATTAAAAAAATATTTTATTGATTTCAGAGAGAGGTGGGGAGGGAGGGAGTGAGGGAGGGAGGGAGAGAGGGAGAGGGAGAGGGAGAGGGAGAGGGAGAGAGAGAGAGAGAGAGAGAGAGAGAGAGAGAGAGAGAGAGAGAGAGAGAGATAAGAACATCAATGATAAGTGAGAACATCAATGATAAGTGACAATCATTCATCAGCTGCCTCCTGCACATCCCAGGAGTCCGAAACCCTGGGCATGTGCCCTGAACGGGAATCGAACTGTGACCTGGTTCATAAGTGACACAACCACTGAGCCACACCAGCCAGGCTGCTCTTACAACTCTTTGTCCACAATTCAGTTGAATCACTTCACCTTTTCTGTTGTGATGATTTGTTTACCTGTCTTGTATCCACTATACACTAAACTGCTTAAAAGCAAGAGATTAAATCTTATTCATCTTTGTATTTCTACCCCAGTGCTTAGCAACAGTATTTACTCTATGAATGTTAAATGAATAGATCTACATAAGATACTGGTTTTTTAAGAGTTTTTTTGCAAGAGAAAACACTTTGAGGGTAGTATCTTTGTGACTTCTAAGTGATTATGGTATAATATTATTTGAGGAGTACTGTGGACAGCTTTCATTCATTTCTCTTTTTTCTTTTGTGTTTCTGAAGTTGGTTAGCCCTGAAAACACCAAATCCAGCTCAGATGACGAGGAGCAGCAGATGGAGCTTGATGAAGAAATGGAGAATGAGATTTGCAGAGTATGGGATATGTCAATGGATGAGGTACGGGGTAGGAAATGAAAGTGGAACACCATTGGGTGGTTTTTTTTTTTTTTCTTAAAGGTTGGTCTTTAAATCTCTGGGGAAAGACTTTAGTGTCTGTAATGACTCCTGTATGTAGTACAGGGAATGAGGTTCCAGGAGCTATAAATGCTAAGGTTTGTCCTTTAGGTTTGTGCCAAATATAAGACACCCAAAAAATATCACACATACACTTAGAATAATTATAAAGATAGTGTTTATTAAAATACAGTTTATTTTCAAAATTGAGCTATCAGCTGTTAAAGTGTGTATACATTTTTTTTTGGACACCCTGTATATAGTTTTTATGAAGGCCAGAACTCTTGTAGCTGGGAAGGTTTTGATACTTATATACCTAAAGAGAACACGGACCTCGTATTTGAGAATCATTGATTGGCTGCCTCCTGCACATTCCCCACTGGAGATAAAGCACACAACTTGGGCATGTGCCCTCGGCTGGAATTGAACCTGGGACCCCTCAGTCTGCAGGCCAATGCTCTATGCACTGAGTCAAACCAGCTAGGGCTCCCACACAGTTTTGATCACTAATATAATAAATCTTCAAATCAGGTAGCATTAATCCTCCATCTTTGTTCTTTGTCAAAGTTGTTTTGGTTGTCATTGGTCCTTTGTATTTCCATATTAATTTTAGAATCTGAGATTGAGTTGAATTAATAGATCATTTAGGAGAAGAATTGATAAATTACCGATAATGATTTTCTTAACCATGAACAAGTTATATCCTTACATTTATTTAGGTCTTCTCTAATTTCAGCAAACTGATTTAGTTTTGGGGCCCACATTTCTAACAAAATGGGGTCACATGTTCACTCCAGGTTCCTTCACCTGTGTAGTGTGTCCCATTAGGTGCCGTGGACAGGGCAAACTCTCTAAGAAGGAAGTGTGAAGCTGCTGCAGTTACACTGTGATCAGCATTTTTTTCTGTTGAAGATTTTGAAAACACAAGTTCTGATTTTGGGTATAACCCAGTAGGATTTTTTTTATCTGTTTCCCCTATTGTGTTTTTTAGCTCTTAGAAGACAGAAATTAAGAATATTACTTTTTCTTTATTCCCAGCTTCTAGCATGATACCTGGCAATCAGGAAATGTGTTTGAATGAATGAGAATGCCTGGTGTGTAGGAAGATCATTAATGTCAATATATTCAAGGCAGAAAAAGAGGGCAACCCTCTGGAATATCACAAGTACTTTATAGATTTGTTTATGGAATTGTTCCATTGCCTTGGGACCAGTTACCACATAGACTTTCTAACATTACTTTTATCTGTTGATACAGTTCCTAACTTTTTCTTGTGCCTGAAAGTAGGTATATATGGAATTAATATTTTTTACGGTTGCCTAAGCTAGGGGTTTAAAGAGGAATATTCAACATCCATGTTAATAATCATTTTTATTTTCAGGATGTGGCTTTATTTCTCCAAGAATTTAATGCTCCTGAGATATTTATGGGTGTATTGGCCAAATCCAAATGTCCTCGATTAAGAGTAAGTATGTACATTTTTATGGCCTCCTCTTTGGAGCAATAACAGATAGTGCTGGACAGTCTTTAATTTTTCTCACTTTAATTTTCTTACTGGCTACAAATCAGTTGCAAATGCTTATTGAACATTACCAGGTACTAGGTAATGTGCTATTTAAAATTATTAGAGTCCTAGAATTTTAGATTTGGGCTGGACCAGGGAGATCAATACTTTCAGGTAAAAATAACTGAAGTTATGCTGCTAATATGTGGCAGGACAGATAGGCTGAAGCTTGTTAAGATTGGGGTGCGAGCAATATACTTCTATATGCTGCCTCCTGTTCTATTTCCTAAGGTTCAATGAAAGTTTTTCTTCAAGTGTTTTTTCTGTTATGTGTCTGTCAACTTAGAGCTATTGTGACATGTGAAATTTGATTTGACAGGAGATCTGTGTGGGAATTTTAGGTAATATGGCCTGTTTCCAGGAGATATGTGTGTCCATCAGCAATGATAAAAATCTTGGGTAAGTTTTACGACATAATAAGTATGTTAAAAAAAAATAGATTTGTATTTTCTATCCCTAAGGGAACCCCTGATACTTAGGAGAGATAGGAAAATATGAAATGTAGTACTTCTTTTCTCTTGATGAACACTCTCCAGAAATGTCATTGTGTGTATGTTTTTTAAAATATATTTTTATTGCTTTCAGAGAGGAAGGGAGAGGGAGAGAGAGTAAAGAAGCATCAGTGATAAGAGAGAATCATTGATTGGTTGCCTCCTGCACACCCCCTACCAGGAATTGCGCCCACAACCTGAGCATGTGTCCTGACCAGGAATTGAACCGTAACCTCCTGGTTCCTAGGTTGACACTCAACCACTGAGCCATGCCAGTTGGGCTCATTGTGTTTTGATGGTAGCTAGGAGCTTTCACATATTTATGGTCATGAGTCAAGATTTTTATTGATAGGAAAGGGACGTGTATCATCAGCAGGTGGTAAATCAGATAAGATAAGAATCAGTGAATCAGAGCTTAGACATGGGGTACCTGATCAGAGTCCAAAACAGTTTAGGCTCAGGGACCCCAAAGGCTCAGAGTCTGATAAACTAGACTTGTTGATAGAGTTACACTGAGAACTCTGACTTCAACAGACCAGAACACACAAGATTGCCTCTGTATTCAAAGGCTTTTGTACTGTGCTTGGAGGCTGGTTGTCTTTTCCAGGCAGGAATGTTTGGGGTAGAGGGTTTTTTAATGGCAGAAACCCTGGTTACTTTAAGAGGTTTAAGAACATACATTTCTAGCCCTGGAAATATGCTAAATTTTTTGAGTGAATTTGTATTCTAGGCAAAGGTTTCATGGCTGTTAATCAGAATCTCAAATAAATTTGTGCCCACAATAGTTTAGAAATCTGTCTTGGGCGGTATTGCCAGTTAGGGCTGTAAGGGTTTATTATGGGATTCAAGTAATATAGCGGAGGTGGTTGATTACCACTTCTCGGTGTGGAGGGACTTCAGATCCTAGCTGTTTATTTCTCAGTAATTGGTAATCATTCATGGACTAGATAACTCAGGACTGTGCTTGGTCTCTAGTGGTCCCTATAAAAATATGAGAATGAGGAATGTTAAGTTTTATAAATTCAATAAATGCATCTTAAAATTATTCTGGAACAGTTTACATTGATGACAGGATATGAATTTGTTCAACTACTTTGGAGCAGTTGGGCATTATCTAGTCAAGTTGGTAGGTAGGCATATATTGTGACCCAGCAATGCCATTAGCAGATATATGGTAAAAGGAATTGTGCACACATGCATTGGGATGCTATATAAGAAGTATTGTAGGAGCATTGTTTGAAATAACCACTAGTAACAGGCTGGAAAAATACATTGTGTTATATTCATGCAATGAATGTTCTGCAGCAATTAATCAAAGAACAGTAGCTATAGGAACAACATGGGCAGATCTTAAACACATGATTAAGTGTCTTATTTGCATATATAAACTAAAACTCACAAAATGCATGCAATATAATTATTTTATATAAAGTTTAAAACCAACATATATTAAATAATAAAAATATAAAGTAAAGCAAATAAATGACTGCTGGAAAGTCAGGATAGTAGTCATTTCTAAACATATATTAAATAATAAAAATATAAAGTAAAGCAAATAAATGCTGTAAAGTCAGGATAGTTGTCATTTCTAGTCATATATTAAATAATAAGAATATAAAGTAAAGCAAATAAATGACTGCTGGGAAGTCAGGATAATAGTCATTTCTACAATAGATGGGAAAGAATTGTGATTTGGAATGGACAAATGGGCTGTGGAGAGGCAGCATTGTTCTGTTTTTTGCTTTGTATTTATTCATTCAGTGTAGATTTTATCCCAGGCTGTTACATTTATATGCTCTATTTCACAACTAAAAACATTTAAAAAGTTAAATGAAAACTGTACTTTGGTATTTAAAATGAGAGAATTAATGCACATTGGTTTAACTATTTTGTTTTTGTAGCCAGGTATTATTGCAGTGCTTGTATGATTCAGACCCTCCTACTTTGCTGGAAACAAGCAGGTATGTTTTCTTCTTTGTATGGATTTTATGTACTCAACCAGAAGGGAGTCTAGTAGAGCTAACTCTTTATTCTTGAATTTCCTTTACTGTTTTTGAAAGATAGATATTTAGCTTACATTTGTTTATCATGTAGATTGTTGCTTACATGCCTTTCCCAGACAGAAGTGGCCAGTGTCTGGGTTGAAAGAATCCAGGAACATCCAGCTATTTATGATAGCATTTGCTTCATCATGTCAAGTTCAACAAATGGTAAGTCACCATGTAATAAGGAAAAAAATTTAAAAAACACAAATCTTTTTGTTTTAACCCTCACCTGAGGATAGTTTTTCCATGGATTTCTAGAGAGAGAGTAGAAGGGAGGGGAAGGGAGAAAGAGAGAAACATTGAAGTGAGAGAAACACATCAGTTGTTTGCCTCTCACATGTACCCATACTAGGGCGGGGGGAACCTGTAACCAAGCTACAAGGTACCTGCCCTTGACCAGGAATCAATCCTGCGACCCTTCAGTCCATGAACTGATTCTCTAATCAGCGAGCCAAACCAGCCAGGGCTAGAAAACAATTTTTGATTATTTTTTGTTAGGAAACCAGGGAGCTTTTTCTGGAGATCATCTAAAGGCTAAGTATTAGGTGCAAAGTATTCCAACTCAAGATAAAAAATTTTTTTAATATAATTTTAGATGGGTACTAGATTTATCAGGATGATCACTTTGTAAGATAAATAAATATCTAATCACTATGTTGTACACCTGACACTAAAGATTGCATGTCAACTGTAATTGAAAAAAATTATTTTTACAAAAGGTACAAAATTTCTTCTTTTAAAATTTTTATTCATTGATTTTAGAAATAGAGAAGGAGTAGGGGAGGGAGAGAGAGATACACATAGATTTAGAAAATAGATTTGTTGTTCCACTTACTTATGCATTCATTGGTTGATTCTTGTATGTGCCCTGACCAGAGATTAAACCCACCACCCGGACGGTTTAAAATTTCTTCTTAAACTCCCAAGCAAAGGAGGCTTCCTTACTGTTCTTAGAATAAGTAATGCTTTGGCAAGATTGGTGGTGTTCAAATAGTTTTAGGAATTGATTAATATTACTGCTTTTAAAATTTTGTTTCTCATTTCAGAATCTGTTTTTTTCTTTGCAGTTGACTTGCTGGTGAAGGTGGGGGAGGTTGTAGACAAGCTCTTTGATTTGGATGAGAAGCTGATGTTGGAATGGATTAGAAATGGGGCCGTTCAGCCTCAGGACCAACCCCAGGAAGATTCTGAAGAGCAACGAGTGTTTAGAATTGTGCCCTGTGTGCTTGAAGCTGCCAAACAAGTACGGTAGGTGAGCTCTTTTGTACAAAATACTCTGGGAAAATCTAGTTGCTAGAAGTATCCTTAGATAATAAGTTATCTTAATTTCTTTCCGACAGGGTGAATAGCACATAGCTGATCTTTAGCAGGCTTGATTTACTACTAATATTCGTGGTGACAGTATATTTGTTCTGTGCAAGAATTAATGGTTACGAAGTACCTGTTCTAATACTAATTAGCTATAGGCTATTATTAGCATTATTTATCTTTAGTATCTTAAAATCTTGTGCAACTTTGTGTAATATAAATCAAATAGATAAGATTTTTTTGTGCTTTATTTTCCATTGGACATTTAACTACTTCTTCAGCTAATGTCAGATATTTGTTTTCTTCTTGTATATATATGCTAGTCTTGGATAATTTACTGGCTTCTGGAATCTTCCCAAGAGTGATAACTAGGTCTTGTAGGTTATTGAAACTGTTAATTGTTGCCGAAACCTGTTTGGCTCAGTGGTGGAGCGTCGGTCTACGGACTGAAGGGTCCCAGGTTCAATTCCGGTCAAGGGCATGTACATTGGTTGCGGACACATCCCCGGTGGAGGGTGTGCAGGATGCAGCTGGTCGATGTTTCTCTCATCGATGTTTCTAGCACTCTATCCCTCTCTCATCCTCTCTGTAAAAAATCAATAAAATAAAAAAAACCATTATATATAAAAAAAGAAACTGTTAATTGTTAGTGACTAGAAAATTAATTTATGAATTGAACTGTTTAGTGGTCAGTTGTGCATTCTTAGTGCTTAATAACCCACATTAAAGCCTATTAATTTTATGACCTTTATACAGATGAGAATTAAATTCATCATTTCCCCCAAATCTTCTTCAGCATTCACAATCACTGTAAATGGTATGATTTTTATCCTGTTTGGATAACGGGGAAGAATGTGGAAGCTGTTGCCAATTCTTCCTCATCCCTCTCTTTTCCCATGGCCACTCAACCTCCAAGCCCTGTTCCCGACTTTTTCTGGGATCCCATCCGAGCCACCAGCAGGCCATTGTCTCTCATCTGGACAACTGCAACATTCTCTTACCCGAGTTCCCTGCTTCGAGGCTTGCTCCTTGCAAGCCTAGACTGTAGAGCACACTGTAGTGATCATCCCACCTTCATGCTTCAAACGCTTCAGTTGCGTTTCTTAGGAAAAGGTTCAAAGTTTTAAAAAGTTTGACTTACAAGTTATTGTATAGTGCTTCTCCATACTTATTCTTTGTGTTCTGGGTTTCAACCATATGAAATTTCCTTTATTTCTTCAACTGAGCCAAGCTCTCTTAACTCTAGGCTTTTGCACACTATGTCTCCTATACCCCAAACATTTCTTTGCCCCTTCAGGTGTCTGTGTCAACAATATTTCTCTTAAGATACCTCTCCTGATTCTCCGAAGTAAATGAAGTTTTTTTGCTATGTGTTCCTCTAATACTTTGGACTTCCTCTAGAATTACATTCTTATTGCTTTGCTATTGCCCCTTTATCTTCTTTCCTTTTAGACTGGAAACCTCATGAAGATAGAAACAGTGTTTTATACATCTCTGTTTTCCCAGCCCCTAGTGTAATACCTGAAAACAGTAGTACTTAAATATTTGCTAGATCATCTTTTAATTATTTACTATCTTTTTACATAATTGTTTGGTTGAAGAACTTGGATTGTGAGTTTCTAGGAATCCAAGCTGTTGAACACAAAAATTATACTTACCATGGTTTTAGTATTCTGAGCTAGGGAGCTAGGATAATCCTGTGAAGTTTTAAGAACTTCATTATTGTTAATGCTTGGTGTAATGGACCTTACACTCACTCTATGAAAGTCTCAATTATTTATCCCCCTCCTGATTATCCACGTAAACCAGAATGATAAAGTAGCAACTCTCAGGTTTCTGCATTGTTTTCATGGGACAATGTGAAAAATAATGTTTCTTCTTGTCTTGTTCATGTTGATTATATTATAGAAAATTTGTTTTTTTTACTGATTTCCCCATTGGAATGTAGAGAGCTCTGGTGAGTACAGAGATTTTTGTCCTGTTCCCTGTTTTATCTTTAACACCTTAGTTACTGGGGAGTGACTAGTATAGAGTGATGAATGGATGAACAATTGCAATCCTATAGACAGCAAAGTGGTTGATTCAGTGCTTTTGTTTTTTATATTTAGTTCTGAAAATCTGGAAGGACTGGATGTATACATGCACATCTTACAGCTACTTACTACAGTAGATGATGGAATTCAAGCAATTGGTAAGATGTTATATAGGGAAGCACTATATCTACTCTTTTAATTGGTTTCTGTTTTTAAAGTACTACTTTATCATTTTTATTAAGTACAGTATCCTGACACTGGAAAAGACACTTGGAATTTACTTTTTGACATAGTCTGCCATGAATTCTGCCAGTCTGATGATCCACCCATCATACTTCAAGAACAGAAAACAGTGCTGGCCTCTGTTTTTTCAGTATTGTCTGCCATCTATGCTTCACAGGTTGAACAGAAGTATCTAAAGGTAGAAAAAGGCAAGTATCATTTTAGTGCACTAAATTAAATTCTGTCAGATTCTAAAGCCCAGGTTTGTATTGTTGGTTTGGTTTCTTTCTCACTTTTTTAAAAACAACCTTTACTTGAGGATATAGGGTTTTTAAAAAAAAATTTTTTTTAATTGATTTCAGAGAGGTAGAGAGAGATAGAAATATCAGTGAGTAGAGAGAATTAATTATTGATCGGCTCCCTCCTACAGGGGATTGAGCCCAAAATGTGTCTTTATAGGGAATGGAACTGTGATTTCTGGTTCATAGGTCAATGCTTAACCACTGAGCAACACTGGCGGGGCTTGCCCAGCTTTCTAAACTCACCTTGTGCCCTCCTTGCTCACACAGTGTAAGTCACTGGCCTTCTTTTAGTTTTTCAGACCTTCCATGACATTTCCTATTTGGGGCTTTTGCACTTGTTCCCTCTGCTTGAAATATTTTTCTGGGCTCTTTGCATTGATTCTTATCCTTTCTCTCTCAACTGGGTGTCATCTCTTCAGAGAGCCTCCCCTGTCAGCTGCTTTATTATAGTCCCCTTTAATTTTCTTCATAGAACTTAACCAACATCTGAAATTACCTGCTTTATTCATTTGCATATTTGAGAGTATAAAAATATAAGTCTCTTGAAGGCTGAAGCTTTGATGAGCTTGTGTGGCTCTATAAAGTACCATCTCTACCACTAATAGTTATTCAGCATGAATGAATGAATGAATGAATGAATGATGAGTGAGTAACCAAACTTAACTGGCTAATCTCATGTCTCTTGATTTGTTTGTACAGTAGATCTTTCTCTAATAGACAGCCTGATTCGTGTTTTAAAAAATGTGGAACGTTGTCAGAAGAAACCAGAGAATTCGGCAGAGTCTAACACAGAAGAAACTAAAAAGTCTGATTTAACCCAAGATGATTTCCACTTGGAAATCTTAAAGGATATTTCATGTGAATTTCTTTCTAATATTTTTCAGGTATTAACAAAGGTAAGAAGTATTAATGGTTTCTTCAGCAAAATAAAGTATGAGTTGCTTAATGTTCCCAACTTTATTATCACTGTTATTATTTTTGGCAAAATTGAGAAAGAAAGAACTTGTCACCATAAGCTTATAGTTTTAAACCAGCAGCTATGTGGTTTGGTATATTTTTATATATGTATATGTTTTTCACATATTTATAACCCATATATACAGTTTTCACTTAACATTACATTATTAGCATTTCTCCTGACTAGAACAGTTCACTGAAACTTTACTGAGCCAATTTAATACCTAATTTGCCAAAAAATCAATTTATAAAATTGATTGTAAACCTTTTTTAAGGAATAGTTTTCCTAAATATGTTCAGGTTTATTAGCTTATTCTTCCTTTGAGCATATCCTTATTGTCCATATATTTTATAATAAGATAAAAATATATGAACATAACTATAGTCTATATATTCGTTGAAGTTTTTTCAAGAATATTTATCAAAACAAGTTTCTATTATTCTGGTGATTTGTTTTACCTTAGCATAGATTTTCAGAAGTTAGCTTACTAGGTTTGACATTATAAATGTGAAAATGACTAAGGCATAATGGCTACATTTTTTTGAAAAGGCTTTTGACATGTGATAATGTTGATTTTACTTGATTCTTATTATTGGGTATTATAATTTTATGTCAAGTAAAATTCAAGAGGAGATTAAGTTGTACCTTATTTTGATTGGCATTTTTATTATTAGTGAGTTTGAATATTTTGACATATATTTGTATATTGGTTGTGTTTTCTGCTTTATATATTTATTAGTTTTGATTATTTGCATGGAATTCCATGGGTAATATTGTATCTTCTGAATATTCATTGCATGTATTTTCCCCAATGTTTGCTGTTCCTTTTGTATTTTTGGAGAGGGGACATAGATGTTTCTTAATTTTCAAGTGGTAGAAATATAGGAGAAAGGTGGGCTGAGACTAAAGCAGGATGTGACATGAAAGTTCTTACCTGTCACACTGAATGGAGTTTGAACTTAATCTTGAGGAAACTGGGGAACTACTACAGATATTTTTAAAAGCATCAAGTGATACAATCTGTTTAGAAAGGTTACTCAAAAAGCAAGAGAGAGAAGATTATAGACAGTTGAGGCTGGAGACCCGGAGACAAAGCTAAAGGCTTTTGTGACTATAGTCTTCAAGAATAATCTGGTGCATTAGTAATTTTTATTTTTATTATTTTAAAATTATATCTTTATTGTTGAAAATATTACAGATGTTCTCCTCTGTCCCTCCTTCATTGTCCCGTCTACCCTCACACTCCTACCCTAGGTCTTCACTACACTATTGTCTGTGTCCATGGGTGTGCATATTTACATATAAATTCTTTGGTTAATCTCTTTCCACGCCTACTTTCCCTCTGAGATTCATCAGTCTGTTCTATGCTTCTATAATTGGCATACAGTAAACTACACATATTTGAAGAGTGCAATTTGAAAAATGTTAGTCTATGTATACATCTATGATACCATTACCCAATCAAAATAATAAATATATATCCAAAGGGGGCAAAAAAGAAAAGAAGAATCTGAGAAATGAGAGCCTATCTATTTGGAAGTGTGGTTGGAGAGGAGGTGTAGGATATTAGATTATTAATAGAATGAACACTCCAGTGAAGGGGTCAGCAGCAAAGGAGGAAGAAAAGTCTTGGCTGTATTCCAGGTTTTTGGTGTGTGTAGTAGGTAGGGTAGGTGGGTATGTGGTGGTAGGCTTCACTAAAATAAGGACTGTGATGGAGCACGTGTTTGGATTACACAGGGAGGAATGATACTAGGTTCAGTTTGGGACATTTGAAACGCCTGTAGGATCAGTGGAGAATTGCGTAAATGGATTTATATTTATTCACCAGATACAGCTTTAGAAATTTTCCTTTCTCTTTGTTTTGTTTTAGGAGACTGTGACTAAGGGACTAAAGGAGGGCCAGTTAAGCAAGCAGAAGTGTTCCTGTGCATTTAAAAACCTTCTTCCTTTCTATAGCCCTGTGGTGAGTGTGAGTAAATGTATAGGTGACTAAGTTTCAGAGGATTATTTGATTTTTGAGGCCATTGTCAAAAAAAAGATAATGCATACAATTCACATGACTTACTGCCTTTGCCAGACATGACTGCTGAATAACTCATGGGAGTATCCTGAGGAACAGTTCAGGTTTTAAGAGAAAGGAATCAACACTGAATTTACAATATTCTTTTCTGTTAGGAAGTAGATAATATATATATTAATCAAAAATAAGGTTCTTAGATAGGTACAGTCAGTAGATTTTTCTGGTTCTCCGAATTACATTATATTTGCTTGTTTTCATTAGAGGCACTTTCAAGATAGGAACTTTTTTTTTTAGCAAAGTGAAATATGAGAGTGAAGGGATATGGCAGGAAGGAGGATAGAAATAAAACTTTATTAATGGACCCTAAAGGGGAATCATTTGGAAGATAAATACTAGTTTAAGAGTAAAACAAAACAGTAAGTCTAGTCACTTCATTGATGTTTCAGGAAATATTGTGATGGAATATATCATTTCTTTTCCTCTGGGCTATTTAAAAATCACAGGCAGAGCATTTTTATAGTCATAATCAATATCTTAATTCACCTTTTCCTTTACTTATGCTTATTTGATTCTTTTGTTTGACTCACAGGTGGAAGACTTTCTTAAAATCCTTCATGAAGTTGATAAGACCCTTGCTGGTGACCTAGAAGAAAGCTTCCCAAGTTTAAAGACTCAGACGTAAAAACTGAACTGTAATTCCCTCTGCCCAAGAAGTAAACTTTATTTTTGTTAATGACAGTTGAAATTGACTTGTAGGAAGTATTATATAAAGCCTACATAAGACCATCATTGTCTGGTATTGCACGCATGCACTTCTTCCCCCAGCCTTATCTCACTTTTGTTTAATATTGGAATCTAGAGTTTCATCCCCATCAAACATCCCCTCCCCCCCCCCTTTTTTTTTTTTAATATTGGTTATGTGGTATTTGTTACCTTCGGGTAAAGAAAACAAAAATATAAGCTTATCATTGAGGATTTTTTCCCCCTCAAGAATATTTGAAAGGTTAGTGAGGATTTTTTTCCCATAACTCTTACTTTGATTTTTATGTGAGAATTTTATATTTGTGTCCACTACAAGCATATTCTGCTGCACCAATAGAAAGCCATACTATAATAGTTTTTATGCATTATACAATAATAAGTCCAGAGGTAGGTAATCCAGACCTGATATGGTGGCTTAGGGACCCTACTTCCTTTCATGTCTAGGTGTTCTGCTATGGGCACCTGTGTGTGCATGTTATTGTCTTGTGGTTAAGGGGACTATACGAGATCACTGGTCCTTTCATTCACATTTGGGGAGGGAAAAGGAGAAAGGCAAAGGGGCTGTCTATATATATAAATCTGTATATATAAAAGCCTAAGTGAAGGTTATGACTGAATGACCAAAACAACTGCACTGTTTGACGTGGTCAAATTGCTATGACATGCACTGACCACTAGGAAGCAGATGCTCAATCCAAGAGCTGCCCTCTGGTTGTCAATGTGCTCCCAGAGCCAACCTCCCATGCCCCTCCTCCCGGCTGACTGGCCCCCCCATGGGCCTTGATCACCTGTGCACAAATTTGTGCACTGGGCGGCTAGTAGCTATAATAAAATAAAATGCTTACAAATAAACTTAACCAAGGAGGTGAAAGACTTATACACTAAAAGCTGCAAAACACTGACAAAGGGAATTAAGGGAGGCACAGATAAATGGAAAGACATCCCAAGATAATGAATTGAAGAATTAATATTATTAAAATATTCATACTATCCAAAGTAATCTACAGATTTAATACAATCCCTATCAAAATTCCAGTGGCATTTAGAAAATAGAAATAAAAAACAATCCTAAAATTCATGCGGCACCATAAAAGACTCCAAATAGCCAATGCAATTTGAACAAAAAGAACAAAGCTGGATGTGTTACACTTTATGACTTCAAAAAACAGGCGGGGCAAAAATAGATTTACAGTTGAACTATGGAAAATAATATAATTTATAAATAATAATACAAGAATAAACTCTGTTTTGAGTACTCACAACTATAAGTCTAGTTTCGCCCCACCTGTAAAGCATTTTAGGTTTCCTTGAATGAGATCTGAAGTCTCAATAATCTGAAAATTCTACAACCACATTTATTTTTCACTAGAGATGAATTAAATGAAGATATGCCACACATGGTGCTTCATTGCACTTACGATTTTTACTTAGAAGATTAGAGCTCTTTAGCTACAGTCTTACTGTTTACCTCTTACTGCCTTTAAATACCTTTCCATGTGAAATGACTTTTTAAAAATTTATAAGAATTTATTTGAACCTGGCCAGAGTGGCTCAGTGGTTGAGCATTTACCTATGAACTGGGAGATCACAGTTCAATTCCTGGTCAGGGCACATACCCAAGTTTTGGGCTTGATCCCAGTGTGGTTGGCAACCGATCAAAGATTCTCTTTCATCATTGATGTTTCTATCTCTCTCCCTCTCCCTTCCTCTCTGAAATCAATAAAAATATGTATGATTTTCTTATGTGTGTGTGTTTTTTAAATAATTTATTTGAGCCAAACTGATGACATGTTGGGAACCAAGATCACAAGCGCTCTCTCCTAATGAAGTGGTTTTAGATTAACTTTTAAACACCAGCTTTTTGTGTTCCACAGCTAAGGCCACAGTATATATTTATGAAAACTTTTCTGCTCACTAGAACACCTCATTAATTATACACTGAGCTTATATCAATATTGGGCTTGTTGCCCTGCAGGCTGTTTAGAAGTAAAGACCATCTGTCAATCCCTGTCATTGGAAATGCTTTTCTCTATTACTGTAATGAGACCACTAAAATCATTTCCTGTTCCCAGTACTTGTTCAGATCTTCTATCTTTTGTCAATAAGAGGATATTAAACTCAGCAAAGTCCACATACCCTTTTCATACTGGTTCACAGTGTAGCACATGGCTTTGTGTTTTAGTGTTGGAAATAGTAAATAATGACGTCAAGCCCATTGTAATAAAAGAAGGCTGGTTATTAAACTAGCTGTTCTTCCTTTGACATCATGGGATCTGTTTATAATGACTTTGAGTTTTTCTCCTTACAAATCATGGTTTGTATGATTACATTAGAAATTGAACCATTTTTGGGAAACAGTCCTTTCATAGAATTGACGTCAGGACCTTTGGGCATGCAGACTCCAACAATGGGATTATGGGAAGAAAGGATGAAGAGGCTTTCTGTATTCTGGAGGGGTTTGACTTCCTGAAATAAGAGCTTCCGGGAAAGAGTGAAAACAAGGTGAATGGGTGGGTGGACAGATGTATATTTCTCATAGCCCACAATTTCAGAGAATGCATATTCTCTTTAATATAAGTCAATCAATGTGGGAGCACGTAGTTTTGCTTTGAGTGGTGTTTGTTGATCCCATTCCATTTGGGATCTCCGGAAATTCACTCTTTTTGGGACTGTGCTTGGGAGGCTGGTTGCCTTTATAAATCCATGAGTGTGCTTTCTTCAAAATGCAAGACTTTTCCTGTTTGTACCCAGGAGCAAGCAGTCACCTGGTCAGTCAGCAAGCATTTCTCCTGGAGGAAACCTAAGTCCTTTAACTACTTGTCACGGAGAAGTCTGTATTCTCTTTCTGTCACCATTGGTAGAAAGATCTGATTATGTGAACCCTGGAACAAAGTCCATAATAGAATAATTTCATTGTGTTTTAGGTTTGGACAAATCAGGCAGCTCTCCTGTTTGTTCTAAATAACTCCTAGAAGTTATTTCAATTTTTATGACTATAGTATTCAGTATTTAAAGCAACTTTTTGAGGGGAGTGAGATGACAGGAGTATAGCAATTTGGAAACTTCTTGCTCTAAATGCACCCGTTTGCTTGTTGCCCACATCAAGTGATCTGGTCTTTAAAGGTCCACATTTTACCTTTTTAGATGAGCCTTGAACTTTGATTTCTCTCTTCCATTCTACAATATTTGGACATATTTCTTTAGAATCAAGTTTTCTAGAACAAGTTACAAAGCACTCAAGGGTTATTTTATCTTTTAGAAATCGCCCAAATTGCACCCTGAGAACCTGTGGCCCCTGGAAGATCATACTGCACAAGCCCTTTGGGAGAACGTGCCAGCTGCTCCGTAACCATGAGCTGGCTCTACTTTAATGAGAGATTAAGAGTTTCCATAATCATATCATCCTGGTTGCTGTGTGCCCGGAGTTTACTCAGACTTGAAACAAATGGAAATTAATTGAAAAAGATTTTTTTTTCTTGTCTCCCCTCCAAGTCTCTCATCTGGAGAAGTGATGAGAAAATGATTCAAGGTTTTGTTGCCAGAGGAAGCCAAAATGTTTATTTTCTTTTGCAATTCTGGATAAAAGAAAGCATTTGGACGACAAGGAGGATGTAGGCAAGGGAAGAAGGGTACAGCTCTGCTGCCTAAAGAATTCCAAATAGAACTGAAACACTGGGAAGTGGATCCAGCATACACTTAGAAGGTTGTCCAGCGAGGCCATGAGTATCTGGTCCTGGAAATAAGTTCAGAGGAAGCAGGAAGCGGCTTTTGTGGCTGTTATGATTCTGGTCAGACCAGTTGGATTGGTCTAGTGATTTTTATGTGTCTCCTACTATGGAGGAGCTGCCATGAGTTTATTAGCCACAGCCTTGAGTTTGGGAAATACTTATCTTTGATTAAAATCTATTCTTTTCTGGTTCTGAAATTTGAGCTCAATTCTTTTTAAGCCTTACCATCCCTCTTGACCACTTCTCACCCTAGTGTTGATTTCTGTAATGTTGCTGTTGAGCCTTGGAGGACTTCATGAGCAGAGGGTTTGGTCTCTGAGAAAACTGGGATATGTTAATAGCACACGGATCTCTTGTCATATCTTCAATGAGATAAATTTCTAATATGCAATCACTAAGTGCTTTATTAAAATTGACTGAACCAGTAAGAGAGAAACAATTATAGATGAGAACCCATCTCATCATTCTTTCATTCATGCCACAGTATGTTGTAATTTGTTGAATTTGCCATGTGTTGAGCACAGTGCTCAGTAGAAATCAGAAGGTGACAATTTAAGAGAGGAGGAAAATAGGAGCTAGTTAAAAGCTGTTTATTCCATTAGTTTCTGAAAGTTAAGGTCCACATTTCTTCCTCTGACGTGATGTTCTTTCACCCCAGGTGACATGCTAATCAGGGATTTGAGGCTCTCTTGAGGCATACATAGCTGAAGGAGATACGTAAGTCCTTTTGTGGGTGCCTGTCTCCCTGCACTTTATATGCAGGCCCAACAGTAAGCACCCATCCACTCTTGCCCACCCCCCTTGACAAGTAAGGACAGCAGGTAAGTTGTAGCCCTCACTTTTCTTGTGGGACCTCACAAGGAAATCGCCTCTCTAGCTGCTCCCATTTCAGCCTAGGGCTTGGCTATTACGTCAGAGGGAGGCTCTGAGTTTTAGCTCTCCCAAGCTGTCTGAACATCCCATGTAATATCAGTGTTTAATTGAGAGCTGTGGATGTGCAGGAGAGCAGGGCCTGGCGATGCCACAACAGAATCTGGAGGGGAGGCAAGGCCCTGGTCCAGGAGGCCAGAGGAACAAAGTTTAAGATACTCAAAGGTTTGCTGCCAGTGGGAGCTGAGATAAGGCCTACTCAGTCACTCAGGGAGCACTGTGGGGAGTTGATCCAAGCCAAACAGACAAAATCCTGAATTTTACATTGGCTTTAAGACACAGTCCCCCTGTCTCAAACATTGGTGAAGCAACCAGCAATCCAGGAGCTAAGAGGTCGGAATGGGGAAGAACACCATTCTCTTCCATCTGCCATGAAGTCTCATAGTTGACCCCTCTTGTGCCCCTTATACCACCATAAGAGGAAGCTGTCTGAGACACTGAACCTTCTTTATTTTATTTTTAAAATATATTTTTTTATTGATTTCAGAGAGGGAGAGAGAGAAATATCAATGATGGGAGAGAAT